AAAGGAAACGATTGTGGGCTGGTCGTCTCCTATTTTGGTACTCAGCTAGTGATCATTTAGTATTGTTCCACCCTCGTTACTGTTCGTCGATATTGTGTTGTTGAACTGTTGTGTTGTACTCTTGTTGGTGTGATTGTTCTTGAGTGAATTGTTTGTCAAGGTTGATAATGGACAATAAAAGGTCATATACGACGATTTTAATTACGAATTCAGTGAGTTTAATTCATGATGAGGACAACAATAGTGTGGAGCAGTTCAACTCTATAATCGCAAAATACATTGGGGTAAGCGAATAAATTATTGCAAGAAGAGGTCATACCTTGGAACTTGTGCTGCAGCTGTAGTGAGCCACAATACCGAGCGGCCTGTCTATGTGGTACAAATACATTTGCGTTCTAAGCTTAGTCCAACCGCGCTTATCACTAAGATGGAACAAAGACTCAAACGCAAGAATCTTGAAAAGAAACTCAGACCAAAAAAAAATTATATGAAGATAACTAACAATTCGGATAGCAATTCCACAGAAAATATATAATAGTTTTATGGCTAATTCTGTCAAAAACCTGGCATGAATGACATTGATTTGGAGGTTGCTAAGCAAGAATCTTTAGGGAAACTTAGAAAAAGTGATGACGAGATTTTGCACATCGAACAAGTCACCAAATCACAGGACTGTGCTTTGTGGCGCCTTCATCGGAGGATAAGGTTGAAAGCGTCTCGATTTGGTGAAGTTTGTAGAAGAAGGCAGACAACAAGCTGTAAAGTTCTAGTAAACTCGATCATATACCCAACAGAGTTTTCTAGTAAGGCAATAAAAAAGGCAATACAAAAATCATTGGACACGGCAGTTCAATCTTGTGATTTGCAAAAGCTACCCAACTGTTTCCTCTTATTTTGACGGCACTGACATGAATAAACGAATAAACGAATTAGAATCTGAGTTCCTGAATTTTTTTAGGAAAGATATAAGATTATTTGAATACATTCTTTCTTAGTCGGAACGCACCGTCGCGTCGCTTGGACATCTCATTTTAGAAATTTTTCGCGATTACAATACTTCCTCGCCAATTACGTGGGAAGTAAAACGGCTTTAAATCGAGGAGTATCAGCGATCGCGATTATGAGTACCTATTTGCAGAACGACTTATCTACGCGATATTATATGAAATAGGGCCACCAAATTATCTAAATACGCGCATCAAAATTGACGCTTTATTTTTTGATATTTTTGGATGATATTTTCATAGAGTGCTGAAAACAAAACCCCACAGGGTGCTATAGAGCCACTTTTTAATTTTTTCCCACTTTTTAAAAAAATCGCGAAGTTGAACAGAAACAAAATTTCAAAAAGTGCTCCTATAGCACCCTGGGCTGTATGAATTTCATTCAAAAATATTGAAAAATGGAGTGTCAGTTTTGAATCAGCTGTACCCTTGTAAATGGCTTGAAACTCACTGCGTCGGAGTCGCCTTAACTTTTTGTTTTGTTATGGACGCCATATTGGATTTTTGCGCATTGACGTTGACAAACTTTAGTTATTCCAAAAAAACAGAAGTTTCTAGGTAGGCGTTGGAATTATCAGATTCATAACATGTACAGCGCTTTGCCTGCAAAATAGCGCACATTTTGAACATCCGCTACGATTTTCCTCTGTTTATTTATGATTACTGTCGTTAGTACCATCAATAAAATTTTCATGTTATGTTCAGGTCCTACCCAACTAACAATTATCACCTCTCACCCTCTTAGAACAGCTATACAAGCGGAATGGGCACACCTAATAGGACACTTCAGTCATTTAAGAGGTTGTATAAGGGCTGCAGGTAACAGTTATAAAACAAAAGTGTAAGCCTCTTGCAGCCGCTATAGGACATTTGCGTCGGTGCAAGATTCAGTTTTTGTCAACTATACAACTATTCTGTTACGTGATTCTACTTTATTGCAACCAAACTATTTCTTATGTATTGTATAGACGAAGTGAAGAATATATAACTAACACATTACAGTCATCTTGTTTACTTAAATATCGCCCATTGTGAATTTCATACACAGGTATATGATAAACTTCTACACTTTGATATAGGGCTATTGAATTACTTGCGCAGCAAATTTTGTTGTGATTATCGTGCAAATTAGTTACCCAATTTCTACGGGCTTCGTATTTAATTCATATTTTGACAATGATCAAAAGTATGTCTAGATTTATAAGATGGAAAACTGAACTTATCTGCGTAAAATCTTCCACAAATCCTATATTTAGACACAATTACACTAATGTTTATCACTTTATATCTGTAATTTCGAACTGAAACATAATTATTTAATATCAAAAAGAGGAATAAATGTTTGCCCAATATGGCGGGTGGTTGTGTACAATCATGGCACCGTCCATGTTGTCTTTAGGTTATTAGAATATTTTGGTGTTGCCTGCAGGTGTTATACAACAATTTGACAAACGTCTGAAATGAAATACCGACAGAGTCGAATGATTTACCCAGAATTTGTACCAGATCTATATCTTCTGTTTGAACAGTTGATAAAACCTTTTGAACCAATATGCATGCGTTGTTTGTCTTAAAACATTGGTTATGGCATTTTAACAAAAATATGACAGCAGAAAGTTAGGTTATGGTGAAGTTGTTTACCAACATATTTAGCATAATATGTACAGCCTTTAACAGTTACTAAACAACAGTTGTATACGCGCTTCCGTTGGGAGCAATTTGTTGGCTAAGGTAGTAAATTGCACAGCAAAATAACAAGGCTCGGGTTTGTTTTATAAACGTTACTATGGATGCCACAACACAAACATTTTGAGTAACTTGCAAATATGCCATATAAAATAGTTGTATAAACGTGTATGGAACAATTAATAATTTGCCCTACAAGGTGTTGTATAACTATGCTATAAGAATATTTTAAACACCTCATTTTAGAGCAAATATGTTGCAGAAAGCAAATTTGCATTCCACACAACATTAAGCCAGCATTTTGGTGTTCAGGCAACAACAATAGAGAGCTTTTATGGCTGAACGGTTCTTTTACCAAAAGCTTATACCACTACTTTGCTAGTTGGGTACCGTACCTTTTTATTTCCTCATAATTTTCATTTCATTTAAACGCACAACATGAAAGAACAAAGTTGGTGATAGAAGTCGAAATGAGTAATATCGAGTTGAAAATTTTATTACTACGCCATCTGTTAGAGGAGAATATAGCAACAATGACAACATGCAATTTATACATTTTGAAATCTCATCTGAAATAAAGTCAGGAAAAAATAAAGGTGATTTTGGGATAACTCTGGTATGCGAAACAAATGATTGTCTGATAATATCTGGCAAATTCTGCGTTTTTGAAATAACTATAGTTCAGCAATGCCAATGTATACATTTTTGGAATCAGACTTGAAAACTCTATTAATCTGTGCGAAGATCCAATATGGCATCCATAAGAAAAAGCTGATGCTGGAGGACAAGAGACGAAAGGTCCTCTTGAAATTCTGAGTATGCCATTTTGTATAGCAGAAGAAGTGGCAATGTTAACGTGCAACCTATTTTGAGAACTTACTGCAAATAAAGTCACCAAAAAATTAAAACGATTATGGCAAAATTCGTTTTTTCCGTCTCTCTCCGGACGTAATTTTAATACTTTCTAACCGGGTATTGTTGATTACGTAAATACGCTACTTTACACCCAATTAAGCGACCTCGAATCTCTTAGTTTCAGAGATCCCAATGGTGAGAGTCGAATTTGCAACACCCTGTATAGGCATAGAGAGCTACTGTTGTTCTGTGCATTGCGCAGTACGTCGAGCAGCTATAAACTAAAGGCGTAGGGGACTTCTGCCATCTTCATCGTATGGCATAAGGATGAAGGTCTGGATGACAAACCATGATTAGGCCAGATTCCTCATCTACTTTCGCGCAATATTTTGAGCTTTCAAAAGTCCATATCCGTGTTTGTAGGACGACTAGACCTACGCCGCTGAGTTGCTAATGAGCACGCTACCTGTTGTTGGTCGTTGTTACAAAAACGGAACGCTTCTTCATACCAGTTCCCGAATTTGTTAAAAACAAACAACCTTTGGACAATTTTCCACACAATTATGGACCTGGCAAGATGTAAGGGTCATTTTGAGTAGGATTATGCAAAACTCTGAATCAGAATATTTTTGCGACCGGATGTGAAGATTCTTCAAGAACTAATGCTCTGCATAATAAGGCGGATGCGCGTGATGCAATGCGCGAATCCCTGGTATCACCGGCACGAATATTATGTAAAAAACCTACAAAACGTCAAAAGAAAAAAGCTATAAAATGCGATCTTGCAGACTATATAGTTTTTAGGGTGCAAACAGTCAGTCCACGTTTGCTCACTAAGATCGTTGTGAACGTCCATCTATGGAGGAATGGGTCAACTACAGCAATATCGCAATATAGCAAGATCGCATCTGGATGAATATGTGTACTGGTCTGCAGATGTATAAAATCAGTGATATTTGTTGTGTGAGAAAATCACTGCGTACTCAAGTAAGTGTATTTGAGGCAAGAATCCAATGGAATTATCATCAACACATTATTAGCACACAAATCATGACTATGCACCAATGCATTACCGTTACCTCAAGGAATGCCATCTCTGAAGCAGATTTTACATCACATCAGAGCCAACCATTGATAACTGAGGCCTCCAGACGTTTAGTACAACTACAAAACGAGTTCACAACGTGTCCATCAGCTAGTGCTACGTTAACATCTTGTAGAAAAACCTAAATAATGTCACAAAAAACCAATACAACCAATACAATGTCAAAAGACATTGACATAACCTCAATTTTCAAGATATGTAATACCTGGGGTTGTCTTGATGTATACAACAACGCTTTGCCTTGTGTATCGCGACGCCCGTGCCAAGCGTCCCGGCGGCGAAGGTGAACCTGCTCCGACGCTGCTGCCAACAGCATCCACGGAACGACATGATTCTATTAATAAATTAAGGCCGAAGAACACTATGATCCAGAGGACCATGTCATAAATATTCCGACGTTGCATCTCCAAGACAACGTTGGTGATGCTATTAAAGCAGGAAATGCATAACTTAATTTTAGGTTTTCTTTCATCCTCAAAATGCAGGCGGAGGTATTTCGTTTACATCTTTACTCAGAAATATCGATTAGTATCATTAGAAGCTATGAAAACTGGTGTACAAGTACAAGAAATGGATAGTTGAAAAAAGTTCGATTACATCACCTACTAAAAGTTGTTTCAGTTTTTTGTAAGTATGATTAAAGGACATTTAGATAACGTGCTCTTTTCTTGGAAATTACAAGTGTTATGGCGAATACAAAATGCAACATCATGAAACTATTACCCCTAAATAATGTAGAGATGTTATCATTATCTTGTTCATTCGAAGAGTCTAGGGAGTTAGTTTTTATACATTTGAAGCTTTTCAGAATCTACATCATTAAGCTCGGAAATAGGAGCTGTTTACCTAAGCTACGTGTATAAAGAGTGAAGCAATGATTGCTTTGCAATCTTATTGTATGATACAGATTTTTTAAATCATAATTAAAAGCTCTATTCACCTATGCTAAATTCGAATACTATATCCATAAGACAAAATTAAGATGACGATGGACATCAAGGACCAAAAGTCATACTGAAAGATTACACCATTTTGTAAAAAAACAAAAAGTGGCAATGTGCAATTTGTTTTGAAATGCCACCTCAAAGTCAGAAAAAAGTAAAATCGTTTTTAGGAAAATTCTGTTTTTCTCTTCCTGAAAACACTCCGAATTGCAAAACTGTCTAACTGTTTTTTGCTAGTTTTATAAATATGCAACTTTGCCTCCACTAAATCATTTATTAACGTATGTAACAGCTCTCCGCAAAAATTATATATTTACTTTGAAAAGGTCAGTGTCTATCTAGTAAATGGCGCTGTGATCAACTATATATGAGCATATAACTGCAGCACCATCTATTGGCACTATCATTTTCAAAATAGATTTCTAATCATTATCGAGAAGATAACAGAGAGGATAGTGTCTCAAAGATGGCGCTGTATTCATTTGCCCTTACTACCCTCCAATCTCTTTCCGTTTCCGAGATCCCAGTGGTAAATGTCGAACTTGAAACACCCGGTATACGATTGATGCGTAAATCGAAGAGAATATTTCATACTCAGTTATGTCAAATCAACAAATTCCACAAATATCTGAATTCCAACTTTTCTTGCGATCGAAACATCAGACCAAAAAATCCCTATGTTGTATTACAAAAGGTTTTATAATAACGTAGTTACAATGAAAGTTAGCTATTTTGTGCTGTATAGTTCCTTAGCAACGCTGTTTGTCCCTGTCTCCATTCCTGAGGAATGCTCAACATTCAGGCAAGGAATTCAAGCTTATAAACCTTGGGAAAATTAGAGGAGAGACCTTAAAACGTAAGCAGTCACGCACGACACGTTTTGATTAAATTTTTCTTCCCCGCTTCTAAGGATATCATTCTACTTTTTTTACTTCCTGAGAATGAGAACTTGGAAGCTTGAGATTCTAACCGTAAATAATTCTGCCCGCCATAAATCAAGGCAGCGGACATAGATATACCTTTGATGCGCCAAACCGAATGAGAATAAGAATGCAATCTGGAATTGGTGGTTTTAAATCAGGAAAGGCAATTTATTTGAGTTGAAAAATGCTGCAGTCAAATAAGGTGCATGGATGAATAGAATAATGGGCGGGCTGATCCCGTCGAACCATTTTGCTTTTTCAACAAAGATCATCTAATCCAAGGAGATTTGAACAAATCTTATGAGATCCGATACAATACAAGGTTATCCCGGGAGATCCGAGGGAATCCATGGAGATCTGAGGAAATTCAAAGCGGACTGAGGAGATACGAGGAATTCCGATGAGACCAATGCAAAAAGATCTGAGGAAATCAGAATATATCCAAAGCAATTCAAGGAGATACGAGGTTATCAGAGGAGATCGGAAGCAATCTTATTCAAAAATGCAATTGACATCTCAAAAAAGTCAGGGGCTTTTTTGTTCTGTAGAGCTCAAATTTGCACAATTTTTATGCCACTGGTATAGTCTCCAGAACAAAAATTATAATTACATCAAACGAACTCACCTATACGAGTTCAAAGCGCGTATACAGCGGAGGAAAGCGGCACAGCGCCTCCCTACCTTCCTCCTTTCTGGCCGCCTATAAACACTCATTTTCTCCAAAGCAAAGTTTTTGCAACAATTGGGTGATACATAATTAGGATCGAACATCACTTAAGTAATTTCGTTTTATGATATAATTATGTCTCGTCGAAGTAAATACTACTTGTAGGTGTTCAAATCGAGTTGCAACAACATACTACTAACGATCTGCAATAGTAAACGATAGGTTGTACACAACTACACAAGTTGTGCACAATGTATGTGTCAACTACATGGACATTTCCATTGTAACAACTTAATTTAGAACTTTTTATTTGTTATAAATGAAAAATGCTATATTGCTACATTGCTATCACAAACCAGATGGAATTTGCTATCACTAACAAAATGTAACGCTAGTCTCCCATAGATGAAACCAGTCCCTATCTGTTATGAATGAAAAATGGTACTTCTGCGATTTCCTAAACTGTCAATGCTGTTCCAAGGTTAGCACAAACCATATGGAATTTGCTATCACAAGCAAAACGTAACGCTAACCTCGCATAAGATAAATAACCTCTATCTGATTATAAGGAAAAAATATACGTTAATGGTTTTCTAACCTGCCATGATCAAACTCACAGTCCTGTTTCATGGTTATCACAAACCAGGTGAAATTTGCTATCATAATCAAATAAGAAGAGATCGACGACCATACTTTGTTGCTACGTTGTCCCAAATGCTTTCACTGTCGTTATTTGTCGTAGGACTTAGCCATACAAGTTACCATCACAAGCAACGGATTTCACTGTTGAGCAGTTAGTTAGTGGAGCTGACTATCACAAGCCAGGTCCACGTTGCTATCCCAAGCATTCGAGTCCAATGTTTCAACGTTATCCCAAACGTCTTTGTTTATCCTTGGTATGGAGTTGGTTATCACAAGCTAGGTTCAGGTTGCTATCCCAAGAAACAGTGTCAGAACGTTATCGAAAACGTCATGTCAGGCATAGTCTGGAACGCCGGTGAGGCATTCTCCTAACTTGCATCTAAAGCAGACCGGTTAGTCGACAATTCCCTGATGTGACGGCTCTTCAAAAAAAGAAGGCTGCGCGTCGCTTTCCAATTTTGCTCCGCGACGAAGGGAACCTTGAAGGCGACCGTCCGTCTTGTCGGCAATACACATCTACCGAACAACCTTCGGTCCTGTTGTCTAATTCTAATAATGTTCAGCGATTCCTCGACACTGCTAAAAACGTAAAAATCGGCGCGCGAGCCCGATTTACATGTTAACCGTTTGGCACGGGAGCGCGATGTGCCGCTTTCTTTCGCTGCGTGCGCGCTTTGAACTCGTGGGTTTGGCGAGACCAGACGGTACTACAAGTATTATTTACTTTGACGAGACCGGAACATAATATGCATTGGCTATGGTTTCAGTCCACAGTAATGCAAAAAATTCGTGAAGCTTTGAAAATTGGTAGAGGTGAGCCCGCGGTGGAGGATAGGAGAAAGTTTACTATTCTCAGCTTTTTGCAAGAATATCTTACACTATTAATAACTCTGTTTACCATGATAATCTCTACTAAAATTACAACAAACTATGTCATATATATTTTTACTGCAGGATCAATACTTTAGGAGCTACAGGGTATTGTAGTTGGCAAAAATAAAATATTTTTAGAAAGATACAAGAAGTCCGACTGTAGCAGCTAAAAAGAAACAGGACGAATCTGAAAACATCTCAAATGTCAGAATCTATCAAGCCGTTTGGCCTGTATCCCGTGAAATAGAAATTTTAAATCTGAAGTTTAACATCTGCTACTTTGATTTTATACAATTTTGGTTTTAACCAAGCTGATTGTACCAACCCGGTCAGCTTTGATCCTTGTTTAATAGAAATTTAGCATTGCGCCATACATGTTCTGTTCAGGGAAGATTTTTATAGATTCGATGATAACCGGTGCAAAATTGACATGTGTCAATTGACATTGTCATCAAAGACAAAGAGCCTAACTTTTCATTTAAAGCTGGACACAGATAGAGTTTTCAAAGCTTGAGGTACTTTATTGCAGAAATCGGGCGCCAAATATGAAAAGCTCTTTCCGAATTGGGTTGTTCGGTGCCGAGGCAAGTCAAAAGTATATCCTACAAAACGCAGGCTCGCTGAGTGATTTTATTTATCAGAATACTGTGGACCAATGATAATAGATGCACTATCCACCTTTGTCGCATAGTAAGCCATTGAATATTTTTAATATGATCAGATCCTCTCCCGCCTTTGGGTACCTAAACTGAATCTTATGCAGCTGTTCTGCACTTTTTGAAGTCGGTATGTCTCGCTCTGTATTTGACATCGGCCATAGACAAGGTCCCCGTATTCAAGTTTACTTAGGATAAGGGAGTCACACAGCTTAACCTTGGTCTGCTTGGGCAATACATTTTTATAGCTATAAATTGACTTCAACTTAGCATAGGAACCCTGAACAGCTTTGGTTACATGATCATGGAAGCACAGGTTCTCATCAAATGTGATGCCCAAGTTGCGAACGGATGTCTTGTGGCAAAGTTCATCACCTCCACTACACAGCTTTATTAATTCACTATTTGATGAATTTAGATTTAATAGTTATGATAGCCGACTTTCTAGGGTTAATACATAAGCCATGTCTGTTATACCACACACATATGGGGTTGTCCAAAACGGACGCAGGAAAGTAAACGCATATTAAAACAAGAAAGATTGATATTCAAATCAAGTTGGGTACTTTATTTTGAAGGTTCATTTATGCCACTTATGTATGAAAAATAATATCGCTCAAATGTTCACCACGACTGGATTTACAGACGTCCACGCGATGGTCGAAATTTTCAATGGCATTTTGCAACATGGTCGGTTCTATGGCATTTATCTCGGCAATGATGTTGTTTTTGAGTTCTTGGAGG